GCAGTAAATCGCATTATTGACCAGTGGAGCGAACTGCGTTTGCATTTCGGACTAGTGCGAAATACTGAGCGGTGCTATACTGCACGACTACTGCATGAGATGTTTGAGGACGAAAAAACCATTTGTACCTCCTTTTCGCTCAGCCCATCATAATAGAATTTGACAAAGTGAACAGGTTATTCCAATCCGAAAATCCTGACCCGGTCAAGCTTTTTGAAGACTTGGAGTTCCTCGTCAAGTCAATGCTGTTGCGAGTAGCTTTGAAAGAGCACGCTTTTCCCACTGCGGAGTGGGAGAAGCATTTGCTTCATGTGCGGGCTTGTAATTTTGGAACTGTTTTTTTAGACGCGCTTCACAACAGCACGCTTTCAGAGGAAGAGAAGGACCAGATGTTGGTTCGCTGCCGTGGGTACCTAGTGTCGTGCGTGAAGTCTCTGCTCAAAAGGCTGCCAAGCAACCTGGAGTTGTTCGAGAACTTTAAGTTCTTAAGGCCCTGCTATGTTCGCGACGCATCTTTTAGTACATTTCACAAGGTCATTTCTATGGTCACAGAACCATGCAGCACATCAATCCTTGAGAGTGAGTATGTGTCGTTGCAGGCAATGCACTCTTCTCTTGCGTTGAGCGACAATGTTAGCGAATTCTGGAGGGCTGTCGCGAAAGCTACTAACAGTGTGGGTGAAGCTCTTTTTCCTAACTTGTCAGCTATGGTGTTTGCACTTCTTTGTTTACCTGCGTCGAACGCCACTGTAGAGAGAGTGTTCAGTCTCGTGACTGTAACAAAGACGGACCACAGAAACAAACTCACTGTGCGGAATCTGGAAATGATTCTGCACGTTCGGTGTGGCTTGAAAGAGTATTTCGGCTGCTGTAACAATTTTAAGCCAAGCGAGCGCTTTTTGGAGAAATTTAACAGTGCTGTCATGTATGAGGTGTAATACGTTCCTAGAGCATCGAATAGTGCGCGACGATGTGCAATATTTTCCTAGTCTTGCTTTACATCAGTTTACTTGTAATCACAAGGAAGTTGGCCAGTGTTTTTCGGTCTCATCAGTCTGGCAGCAAGTTGTATGTACGGCGAGGTATGCTGTGTTTTCTTGCATGTCTCATGTCAGTTGCATTTACACAGAAGTTAGTATTTTCTTATCTCTTTGTTATCAATTGGCAGCAAGTCTTGTGCTGCGAGGTGTGTGTTTTCATTCTTGCTGCATCTCCATGGATGTGTATTTAGAAGAAATTCACTGTCTTTTTTTTTTCATTGATTGATTTAGAGTATCTTGCTGTTTCTCAATTTATTTGTATAGGCGTAAAGCCTTGTTTTTCTCTGTCACAGTAATTCTTGCTAATAAAAAAACTCTTTGTACCACTTTGCAGTGCATGGTTTTTGAACATCAATCTTGGCTACATTGGGCTACTTCTTAACTGGGCCCAATTGCATGGGTGCCTATTTTTGGGCGACATGTTTTTTAAATTTTGGGCTGCGCCCCATTCTGCCATCTGGCAACACTGGGGAGAGGGTGCAAGCCCTGGACTTTGCTCGTTCGGACGCGCGTTTCAAACGCGACTTTGTGGATCGCAGCTTCAGTCACAGCTGCGCCGTCTGTGACCGGCTGTGGTTCGATAACAGCCTGAGCTGCATTTCCGGCGTGAGGAACGAGACCAACAGGTTGAACGCGTTGCGGGTTCTTTGAAACGAGTTTGGAAGACGGACAGGCGAACACCGATGCGACGACAGGGATGCGCAAGACCCGTGGCTGGCTCCCTTCGGTGCGTTCCGGGTGTGTGCGTCTTGCCGAGAGTCCCTGCTGGCCGGGCGGGTTCCGCCGTTGAGCAAGAGCCACGGCTACGCGTACCCGCCTTGTCCCGCGGACCTCCCCGATCTGAACCCGGTGGAAGAGCGCCTCATCTCGCCTCGACTTCCCTTCATGAGCATCAGGCGGCTCACGCGGGGCAACGGTCAGTACGGCATTAAGGGACAGATCGTGAACGTGCCCATCGACGTTCCGAGCGTGGTGGAGTGTCTTCCCCGGCTGGTTCTTGAGGACGTTGCGATAGACGTGCACGTGAAGCGGAGGCTGGGGAGTCCGGCTACGTACAGGCGCAGACTGGTGAAGCGCGGTAACATCTTGGCATGGTTGAAGCACCTGGAGCATGCGCTGTTGTATGTCGCTAGCGACGTGCGCATCGACTGGAGTCGGCTGGGTGTCTTCGATGACAATGATGCAGCCGTTTGTGAAGGTGAACGCGCCCAGGGGGGAGACGACGCGGATGACATCGAGACTGTCCCCGAGAACATAAATTTGGACGACCCCGTGCAACTAGCCATTGCCCTCAATGCCATGTCAAAGACGATCTTCTTTAATGAGGAGGGTGACAAACGACCGCGCGCTCTCTTGATGAGAGATGATGGGGAGCGAAGCGGTGAACTGGACGATGCCGCTGCCGCTGACAAGCTGATCGATCAGTCGCATAGCCTGCACCTCGCTCCGGGTAAGAACCGCGTCCCACTGGCGCTCTTCATGGATGCGTATGCGGAAGAGGTCGCCTTCCCCACGATATACATGGGCGCGCCTCGAAAGATCATCAGTCCGCGTTCCACGCCATTGGCCATGGCCAGATGCGAGATACGGCGCACCGACCGGCGTGGAGCAACGCCGGAGCACGTCTTGTACATGGCCGCGAAGGTTATGCGGTAAAACGTTGCGGAAAGCAACATGATGTTTCGCACCAACGAGACCACTGGTTCCATCACGCGTGAGCAGCTCGAGAGTGGCGGTAAGAAGTTCCTGGAGAAGGTGCTGGACCGCGATTTCGCATTCATGCGGGGCGTTCCAAATACGGTCCAGTATTGACAGGATCGCAGGAGTGAACTCTTCGCAATGGTTCGCCAGTTGGGCAAGCCGCACGCGTTCCTGACCATGTCCGCATCCGAGGTCCATTGGGAGCGCTTGCTCGAGACCCTGGAGCGGCTGCGGGTTGGGCCCGATGGCACGCCTCGGCCCGTGTCCGAGATGGTGGCCTGGGAGCGCGTGGAGCTTGTGAACGAAGACCCCGTTGCCTGCGCGATGTACATCAACAGGATCTTTGATGTCATCATGAATGTGCTCGCCGACCAAAACTGCTCGCCGTTCCGCCCGTACGTGACCCGGATTACTTCAAGTGGGTGGAGTTCCAGCAGAGAGGAAGCGCGCACGTGCTCGTGATCCTGTGGCTCGAAGAGGCGCCCGACGAGGAGCTCACCGGTGAGGAAGGTGCCATGCCCAAGACCCTCGAGATGGTGGCCCAACTCCTCACGCTCGACACTACACTCCTCAGGCGGCCACGAACGCAGACGCATCAGCACACCCACACGTGCTACAAGCGCGGCCGCACCAAGTGCCGGTTCGGGGCGCCCTTCATGCCCAGGGATAAAACGAGGATCGTGGTGCCGTTTCCACCTGCGCCGGAGGGAGACGATGCGGAGAGTGAGCGGGAACGCCAGCGTCTCAAGGCCCTAGAGAAGAAGTATGATGAAATGCACGAGGGTCTCGAGTCCGACGACTTTGAGGATCTCGCCTCGTTCCTACGCGCTTTCGGCCTGCACTCCGAGAAGGAGTATATAGATGTCCTGTGCGCCGGCCTTTCGCGACCCTGCGTCCTCCATCGAAGGACCCGGCGGAGAAGTTTGTGAATGCATTCAACGCGTGGATAGGCCGGGTCTTGGATTCGAATATGGATATGCAGATAATACTCGATCACTACACGTGCGCTTCCTACGTGGTGGACTATGTCAATAAGTCCGACCGCGGAATGTCCAACCTCAAACGCACCGTTGCCGAGATCCTCAAAACGAATCCGAACGACGACATCGAAGCCGTGATCCGCAAGCTTCGTGTGGACATCCTTAAAGGAATTGAAATGTCGGCACAGGAGGCAACCTGGTTTCTGCTCAAACAGGACATGTCGCACAAAGCCGGGAGGTGGTGTACGTCCCCACGTGCTACCCCGAAGAACGGGTGCGCGTACGCAAAACACGTGCCGAGTTGGAGGCGCTCCCTCCGGGCTCCACCGACGTCTGGAAAGCGAACCTCGTGCGAGGCCAGGCCGCCTACCCTCAACGACGTATGCCTCGCCGACTTTGCCAGCAAGTACCGGCCGGCGAAGGGTGATTGCCGTTACAAGCTCAGGGTACGACCGGCTGTGATACGCTACCGCGGACACAACCCCGGGAACGATGTGGAGTCGTATATGTGGGAAAATGTCCTTCTATACGTCCCGTTCCGAAGCGAAACGGTTGATGTGTTGGATGGTAATAGGTATCAGTCCATCTACGAGAACCAACAAGCAGTTGATCGAGGTAAAACTAAAAAAATATAAGCCGGCGGATGACGACGCACTGGTCCGAGAAATGTGGAGGTCCACTACACCGAGATGCTGCGGCTCAGGCGAGAGAGAGAGGAGGATGAAGAAAGAACAATGCAAGAAGAAGAATGTAATAAAGATGACGGGTGCGCGCGGGTACAAATCTCCGAACGACGAGATGCGGATGCTAGTGTGTACGCGGACGTGCTGCCTAACGAGCGCCTGCTCCGACTGCTCAAAGAGGTCAGTACGTCGTGTGCTGCGGTACGCAAACGGCGCGGAATCATGGAACGAGAAGAGTACGTCTCGATGATGCGCAGCACCAACCCCGAGCAGTACGAGTTGCTGCGCGAGATTCTGCACCGTCAGACCACGCCGGGGCAGCCTCTGCTGCGGGTCTTCTTCACGGGACCCGCGGGTTGTGGCAAGACCTTCGTGCTCAAGCTCGCCATGGACGTGTATAACCGCTGTGCGGACTGCTGCGGTGCCGTGGCTGGGAAGACGGCTCCTCCTCATCCGTCCCTTCCGTCTACAACGCGTATGTGATCTGCCCCAGTACGGGAAAGGCCGCTGTTGCTGTGGGTGGAACCACCGTCCACAGTGTTTTCAAACTCGTGCGGGCTGCCCGTGGAAACCGACAGGACGCCCGCCTCGCAGTCATGGGGGACGGTGGACTCAGACCTAGTAACCTGAACACCTTCCGGTGTGCCTTCCGCAGAGTCAAGTGCGTCATCACAGACGAAGTCAGTATGATGTCCGCCGACCAACTCAAACTGGTTGATTGCGGTCTGCGCCAGATCACGCAGCGACTCACCCGAACCTTCGGTGGACTGAACGTCATTTTCTGCGGGGACCTGCGGCAGTTGCCGCCCGTGCGTGCCAGCGAGATCTTCAAGCGGCGCCGCAGTGCTGATGGTCTCCTCGGATTCAGCACTGTCACCTGGCATCATCTCGAATACTTCCCACTCGCGAGAGTCGTGCGCCAGTCCGACGTCACCTTCTCCGCGGTCCTCACCAAGATTCGGGACGGCCGCGCGCTCAAGCCCGAAGAAGTAAAGCTTCTCGAATCCAGGTTCGTCACGGTAGAGGAAGCCGCCGAGCGCGCGCCCTCGGCCGTGCGCATCTTCTACTCGAACGCCGATATCACGCGTTTCAACGAGACCGTGGCTCGTTCGCAGGACGACTTCGTGGTGCTTTGCGCGCAGAATCGGTACCTTGGCTGCTAGACGCCGCATCTGCTCGAGAATGCCAAGCGCAGGGTTGCCCGCATAGTTCCCAGCGAGTTTGCAAATCTGCCCGGGGAAGTCATGGCCGTGGTTGGCAAGCCCTACATGATGACTCATAACATCGATCTCGTGGATGGTCTGGTCAACGGTGCGGTTGGAGTCTTGCGCCTGTATGAGCTCGCTGGCCCGTTGGCCGATGGAGATGAGTGGATGAAGAAGGAGGAGACGAGGATGAAGAGACGCGCGTTAGGCGACTGTGGCTCGAGTTCGATGTGCCCGGTACCGGAAAGCTCACGCGTGCGCGCGCCGCTAGGGCCGTTCACGAGGCCCGTTCCAACGGCTACGACGTGACCAGCGAGAACTGGATACCCATCGAGATGCAGTCGGCCACCGTCACGGTAGATCGAAAGGCCGGCATAGCTTGTAAACGGACGCAGTTCCCCCTTGTCCAGGCCAGCACCATCACCGTGCACAAATCTCAGGGGGAACCTACGCCTCGGTCGTGTACGACTACTCCAAGACGCACCTGCAGAAGCTCGTCTATGTTGCGCTCTCTCGGTGTACCAACCTCAACGGACTATACCTCACCAACGCTGAGGGAGACCACACCTTCTACCACAAGCAATACAACCCCGACAAACCCATGCTCGATGAGTTTCGGAGGCTCGAGAATCACCGTCTGGTCACCGTCACGCAGCGCTACCTCTCCGCTCTGAGGGACCAGCATTTTTGCAGGGTGTGCGAGGGTGGCTGTAGAGAGTTCACGCTCGTGCTCCTAACGACCGCTCTCTCTCGGCGCATGCACTGGACGTTGCCAAAGACCCCTTACTCTCCAGAGTTGATCTCTGCCTCACGGAGATCTGGAACAGCTCCTCCGGTGACCCGGGCCCTCGCCGAGAGAAGGGCTGGTGGAGTGGACGCCTTCCTAAAGCGCTAACTGGCCCTTCAGTGAAGAGCTCAGGCGACAGCAGGACCGGACCCAACTCCTGGTCTTACAGCGTGCCGACCTCGCTCCTGATGCATCGCCGCGAACGTGTCCCACTGACGACCCGACCCGTGCTCCTTTGCCCGGAGTGGAAGCCGGGGCGAGTACTGCGGCGTGTGCTTGGTTGGACACGTCTACGCCAACGTCCTCTCGCATGCCGTGTGTACTTCGCCACTCAGAGACGACTCGCCGTACGCCTCCGTCTAAACCAGTGCCTACTCCGGCGATGCCGTCCTGGTTTTGACCGTCTACCTGGCCCCGAACCCTCTCGAGAGATGACGTCTTGGAGCAGATGGATGCGGCGATGGAGAGTGAGTCTGTGCGCGCGTCCCTCGGTTCCGATTGTGGTGGTGGGTGACTTTAACGTGGACGTTAGAAAGGACAATGGCTGGTTGGTTGACCACATGCTGAACAATTACTCGATGTTGTGTCTGTCTCTCGAGTTTCCGACCACGATCAACGGTGGCTTCATAGACTTGGCGTTCAGTAGGAACTGTACGGTCCGCTCCGTCTTGCCGGATCAGCTCACCGTAGATTTCTCGGATCACAAAGCGCTGGTACTAACCGTAAGCTACAACGATAACAAGAATAGGTGCTAATCTGTAGTGTAGTTTGTGTGTGTGTGTGACGCGCTCGCGACGTGTGCATTTAATGCATCGTACGAAAATCGTGAAGTGTAAATAAATAATACTTCGTATATAATGTATTTGTGTACAAATGCTTCATGACAAACAACACTTAAATTCATTAATTACACTTTAATCACTCATCATCAGTAATAAAACTTCCAAGCATTTCCCCGAGGGTGAACATGGTTAAGTGCGAATGCACGGGGTGATGCTATGAGAGGGAGTAAAGTTAAAATCCGTTGGCATTCACCAGTGAGTTAACGTAACTTCCCCGTGTGATCAAATTGCGATTCCCAGAAACCAATACACCATAAAGGCACCATAGTGTGATAATAAATATAATAGTGTAAATTATAAATACCCCTCATAGCATCACCCCTGTGCATTCGCACTTAACCATGTTCACCCTCGAAAAATGCTTGGGAGTTTTTTTTTTTGTCTGTGCATACGATGCCACAAATGCAACGTTTGTCTTTACTTGTCAGCAACAAATGATTGCTTTTTTTTTTTCATTTTCACAATAAATAAAAGCACAAGACATACAGAACAGGACAGGAGGTTCTCTCCAAAATAAATTGCTAAAAGTGCTTTACTTGCCAATGCAATCTTGTCTTTTTGTATTGACAGCGGCAGAGCGTACACATATGTGTATGCATCTAAACATCCATTCAAGTTGTCTAAAATTTTTTTCATTGTTTTACATTTATCATTGATCACTGGGCTTCGCTTGGCCAAAAAAAAGTGTCTATGCAATTTTAGCATTGCCACATTTATTTTTAATGAAATGAGATTTCTGCTGATTACCCCCTTAATTAAGGGTCTAGAGAGTACGGAGTTGGGCCTCCGATTAGCCTATGGGGTGCTGTTTATTAATATATTAAGCGGACAAAATTTAAATTCGTTTGTGAGATGATGTTACCAAATTAATCTTTTTAGTGATTAGGCTTATTTTGGTCACGAAATAGTTCTGGTACTATTACTCCTGTCCTGATGAAACCTGAGCGGCGATAGGTCTACAATTAGGGCTTTGCACTGTATGAGTTTCGCGGTAGGTTATTAGCAAAGTTAAAAGCGATCGTAAGGGAAAAAAAAACACCTGTTCAAGACTGATCTGACGGGCGTACCTTTCTCCCGAGCAGTGAGCCACCCTTCTCCTCTGAGCGAGGGAAGACGCGGGCGCCACACGTTTATTAGCAGTTTTCGTTATATTCTTTCTAACTCTGTATCTTCCGGTTACCTTAAGCTATCAAAATTATTTTTACACTGAGAAAACCGGACTGTTGTGTTCTAAAAGAAGATATAGCTATTTTTCGGTGGTGTTTGTAGCTCCTTTTGAAAATTTGTTTTAATGAAATGAGCTTTTTGCTAGTTACCACCTTAGTTGAGGGCCTAGAGTGTATGGAATTGGCCTCCTGGTAGCCTATGGGGTGCGGTTTATTATTATATTAAGGGGACAAAATTTAAATGTGTTTGCGAGGTGATATTACCAATTTAATCTTTTTAGTGATTAGGCTGTGACTGAAGGTTTTTTTTTTTTTCATTTAGCCGAAAAACAACTATAAGTCTGGCCACATTGTCGGCATCAAAGATGCTACGTTATGCAAGCCTGTCGCCATTCATAGCCATGCCGTCAACGCCCAGCACATAAAAAGCGAGAAACACAAATAAAATGTCTTGTTCTTGCTCGGTTACTGACCCGTTCACACACAACAGAACAGTGGCAACGAGGCACCCATGGCAATGCTGTGCACTCTCACGATGACCACTGAGCCTGGTCGGGCGAGCTAGGGAAACCTTGAAATCGTAGGCCTACGGCAAGTGCGGGTTGGTGTGCTGCGACCACTTCAACCACTAGGCACCTTTGTTTGGCTTAGCGTACAGTATCGAAGCTAACACTCAGGTAAACACGCCTGCCGGGGATGTCAAGGCATCCAGGCAGGCTACAGTTTGGCGATTCCCAAAGGGAACGTGGATGAAGGAAAACACGTGCTTACCAGGCGCCGGCCAATAAAGAGGCGGCTAGCGAAGGCGGAGGAAACGTCAATGCTGTCATTACAGCAGCTCGCAGACGTTCTCGTGATTTGCTTTGAAGGCAGCAGTTCGGACGAGGACGATCGCCATATTCTGTGCACAGCTCAGAAGAATTTCGCTAGGCCCAGTCATGTCAGAGAGAAAGAGTGTAAGAGAGATCAGACATGTCAGAGATGTCCACTGAACTGATCGGCGCCATTTGTTGACGCGGCACAGCAAGAGAAAAGTTGAATTCACTACTCGAATGTCTATGGCGGGGCTTGTGGACCGGCAGCTTCGTTCACGGCACGCATCACGTGTGTGGGCGCGAGCACGGCGCGTGAGAGGAGCGCGTGGTTGGCGTAGTGCCGCGGTTAGTTCACTACCTGTTCTGTGGTTCACCGTTGAGTCCAGCCGTGTATTCACGTGCGTTAGAACACTCGATGTGTTGACTCGATGCAATGAGCGAAGTCTCATCGAAGCAATGAGCGACGTCACTGATGTTCAGGCGCCTATCCTTAGGAGGCACCTGCAGGAATGGAAACTTCGAGACCGTGTTTGTCTGGTTACCTAACGACGAAAGCAACGTCAAACAACTGGAAAGATCCCTCGCTGCAGCCAACGTAGAATTTTCTGTGCGTTTGTTTCGAAGGAAGCCAGGTGAGTGAACATCGGGAAAGGCGGTGCTACATACTGCTGTCACAGCTGTCACAACATAGAAATTCTGGCCAATCACTGCTTCGGTGTGATTTATTCTCATTTCACTTGATTTCCTTTCATTCTTATCTCACTTATGATATGAATGCGTAAAATGTAGGACCTCATTATCTCTTCTTTCTGACATCGTCTAGTCTGCGCAGTGTGTGATTTACGAACGCGCCTAAATTCATGCCTTGTAAAGACTTCAGTTGTTATTAATCTTATCCAGAATTTCGATTGTGAAAGCGTTTTGAGGGCTCGGGGTTGTAAATCCTCGAGTATATTAGTATTACAGCCTGGAGGTTTCAATGTCCGCAGCTCGGCTCACTGTGCTTGGGGATGGCACCAGTTTTCATCGTGCTGCAGGAACACAGGAATTCGACACTTCTCTCTGAACAAAACAACCATCGATGTAATGCTAGATCAAAGGTCAAAGTATCGCCGTTGACTCGTGCGTGAAGCAGACTAACACTAATCGTGCAGTGGATGTTCATAATGTGGTTTAATAGCTTGAAGCAGTGAAGTGCAGGGTGCTGCTCACAGTGTAGTGTTTAACAAAAGGAAGTGCGCGCTCATGTGTGTTTTTCTTTGCAGGCAACATTGTGTTCAACAGCGCAAACAGCGGTGTTCTACATTATTTGGACCTAGTGCGCTTCCAGGTGACGGGAGACGCAACG